AGAGAGCGACTGTAGATGAGATGCCAGATCAAGGCCAATTATATTGCATATCTGCCTCTGTAGTGTAAAATTGTATTTTTATACTTTCATAATGTTTTTGTTTAGGGTGGTCACTATTTGCCTATAGTTGGGACCCTAACAGGAGCTACCACCCTGGGTCAGAGTTGACCTGGGAACAATAGCAATAAACGGTCCTCAAAACCTTCAATCACCTGATCAGAGGCCTTGCTGCTGGATGTAGTTATGTAGTCATACCCAGGACCCCCTTTCTGATATTGAATTTTGCTTGAGTAAGTAACATATTTCAGAACAATAGAAAATTATTACATGAAAGTGCTCTCATAGTTAATCTAAGAGAAAAAGAAAATCAGAAACTAAGCATATTCACTATGTCAATTTTTACATGTTTCATAGAGTCCAATGTATGTTCAACTGGGGGAGAGAAAAGAGCAGTCACGGGGCTAAGAGCAAAAATGTAGAAAATTTGCAGGTCATTTGCATCATAAATGGAGATTGCAGCCTTAAGGCAGAGCTAAGAGAAAGCCATCTAAGTTGACTTGATTTAGAGACACTGGAAGCCACAGCTACAGTAAATCCTGCTGTTATAGTCATAGAACTGAGTGAACAAGTCAGTATTAAATGTATGACAGCTTATGGCATTTTGAAGAAGTTTGGAAAAGTGTCAAAGGTTAGGAAAAAGGAGACATGACCTGTCCACAGAAAATCAACAACTGATTGTTGTAACTGTCCCCAGCAGATCCAATTGACTTTTTATACTGAAGATGAGAAACTGGTCCTTTTCTTTTTTTACATATGCCCTGTAGGTGATTATGGCTCTCCACAACATCCTGTCTTTTGCAGCCCTTAGTAAAGTTTGTCTTTTTGCTATATTTCCTAACACATGTTCTTCCAACTATTCACATGAGATTATTAGATAGGTTATGTGGATTCAATGCCCTGTGATTGTCAAATTTTCCAAGCCCTCTTTCCTCATTAATTCCCCCATAAATTTCAATTCTTTCTTTCTGATGTTAAGTATAAGTGCCAGTTTTGTTCCCATTTTCTATAAAAATTTGTTGTTGCTCATTTGTTCAATGATATTCTCAGCATGCTTCTGTAGAACCATATTCCTGTTGCCTCAAGTCTTTTCATCTGTGATGAAATGGCACAGTATTCATTGCCATATAGGAGTACCAAACATAACAGTTCAGTTTTCTTTTCTTTGTTTCCAATGAAACTTTCCTTTTAATACTTTGCTTAACTTTTGGAAGTCATCTTTCGCTATCCTAATACACCTTTGGATTTCAGTGTCACACTTTACATCCTCTGTTAAAATACTTCCTAGATATTTAAATTTTTGCCCTTGCTTAATTTTGGTATCTCCAATTTGTAATTTACATGTTGAGATGTTTCTTTTGCTGACTGGGTCCTCTTCAGTGGCTCATTTTCAATGAGATGTGTACTCCAGAAGAGAGGCTACCTTCATTCAAAGAAATCTCTTTGAGTATCTAGTGGGATATGCAAAGAATCAGATATTATGAATTTTTAAACATTAATTTCACGGCCAACAGCTTATGCCTTTGAAAACATCTTTGAACAGAAAATAGCCAGCCCTCAGTCAGTTAAGTGCCATATGCGATATATATGTTTGGCTAGATCATGTTTCATGACTGATTAAGCCAAAGATTTTCCCACAGTAGGGTGCTGTTTCTTTCTGCTGTAGACTGGTTGCCAACCAAGGCTATAGGATCTAGTCTGTCCTGCTATTCAACTCATAGCAAGGGAAGAAGAGATATTTGTGCATAAGTGAATGTAATGAACTTGACTGAAATTTTAACTCAGCTCTTAGATTTCTCATTCCGAGCCAATATCCATTACACCACAATGCCAATCCCAGTGAACAGAAATTAGATCATTCTTCATCACTATAATGCATGTCCTCATACAGCTTGACTGAGTAAAGATTTAAGATTTAAGGACTGCTGAGGATTGGGTGGGACGTGTTTGGTTAAAGGAAATGATTGATCCCTCATACTTCCCTGACCATGATCCAATTGATAAGTATTTATTAATGACTGCAAAAAAACATTGATGGGTAGAAACTTACTTCAAGAGGGTGAAAATCAGGAGTTTTACAATTATAGTTTTTAAATAATACTAATATCAAAATAATAATAACAACAATAATAATAATAAAATAAAAAAAACCTAAACACAAACTAGTCTAGAGGATCAAAGTGTTGGTTCATGAAATTGGTGGCATAGTAATTTCAAGTTCAATCATAGGGCCAGGTAGTACAAACTTAATCTTATCAGAAACAGAACCAGCAATAGGTGAGCAGTAGTTAAAAAAAAGTAGTTAAAGTTACAGGAGGCATGGTGGGGTAATGGATAATGACTTGGACTGAGGAATTGGAGATTCATTACAGTCATATATCCAGTCAGATCCATTACATTCACTTACGTGCTAATGCCCTTGGAAAAGGTATGAATCCTCCTCTTCTCTCCCAGCTATGGATAAATTGCAGGACACACTAGGTTCTATAACCTTGGGTGGCAACTAGTCTAGGAGAAGGAAAACTGAATTCAAAATCAGCCTCGAGAGGGTTGGGCTTTGTCAGGTCATCTTGCCCAAGAAAATATCTCTTCTTCTGCGGCTGCAGTGCATATGGTGCCCCTTGACACTACAGGTCATGGGATAAAGGAAAAGAAGATATTCCTAGACTTAGTCAACATAACGAGAATAATCAACTCCTGTAGATTATTTTTTTAATACATAACTCTATTACAAGCAACTGCACTCAAATGTGAGTAAGTCTCAAGCAACTCCATTACTTATGTCTGTGTCAATTATGTAACTCAAAAACAAAAAAAATTAAATTAGTACATCTGGTGATACGGTCTCGTTTTACAGTTGAAATGGCTAGATTTAAGTGCAAGTCTATGTTAATAGCTTCTTCTATTGCATTTCTTGTTTGTAGAAATCTCTTATGGCTTCTTTCTTCCTAATCAATTTTGATCTTCAAAAATCCAAAATTAATATCAATTGTTATTGTCTCGCTTCTTAATTTGTGTTCATTTGTTTTCTCTAATTAATAATGTTTTCTTTTTCTCATATTCAAATTTGATCTTCAAAAATTTAAATGCAATGTCAATCATTATCTTCTGTCTTCTTAATTGCTGTTCTTTTATTATTCTCTCTCCTTAATAGTGTTTTGTTTTCTCATTATTTAACATTCAGTAACCACTTGCATCTTAGTGGCTTTATTGCCTTGATTGGGATGAAAGGATTTAAAAAGAAAAAAGGTAGACAATGTTTTAACAAGAGTTACTAAATACATTATTTTTATACTGTAGGCAATAATTATACAAAATTTACTAGCTTAGTTACATTAAAATAGATTTCTTTTCTATTTGGTTGCCTAAAATGTTTGGTTTGTTAAATAAATTTTCTACTTAAATGAACAAACTTTTTGGCCAACCTAATATTTATTAGATCAAAGCATAAATTCTAAACAACATGAGTACTAATTCCTGTGCAAAAATTTAAGCAACCTGGGAATTGGTCAAAATCTTAAGTTACTTATAAAAGAAAAATCATGTTTTCTTTTTTTTTTTTTTTAAACTAGTGCCCCCCACCCATACAAAGCACAAGAGCATTAGTGAATGAAGTGTTAATCAGGAATCAAAGCAGCAGAAATTCTTAGACCAGAGTGCTTAAGCAAGGGTCCGGGAACTGAAACAGACTTGCTCAATTATGTTCTCATTCCATTGCCAGTGTCTAGAGATATCTCGTCTCATTCTTAATTTTAGTACTGCTCAGTTATTGCTCGTTCCATAGAGTTCAAGTACACACAGTGCCTAGCCCTGGGATTGAAGTTACAATCAAATAAAATTAACCAAAAAGAGTTAATAAATACATTATTTGATACCATATTCATGAATTATACAAATACTACTAGTTTAATTATATTGAAATGTCTTTCTTTTATATTTATGAAACCAAAGTAAAAAAAATATTTAAGCAGGAATTTAAACAACTTAAGTGCTGGTAAAATTCCTAAGTTGCTCATAAAAAACAAAGAAAAAAAAATTATGTAAAGGGTCCCGGTTGAATTTCTTTGAAGGTTAGCCAAATCAGCAGACACATGAAAAAGTCTGGAGAACATGTCTGAAACAGTATAACAACAACAAAAATGAGGAGACTGACTGTGAATAATTATAATTCCTCATCCCAGAAATTTAAACGGAAATCAAAAAAACTAGATTTTTTCTATTGATTCATTTTCTATGGATTATTGCAGATTATTTAAAGCCAGAAAATATTTTTAGATTGTAAGATTTTTTTTTGAGATAATAATAGTTTAGGTATACAAGTTTTACTAATTAACCCATATCTGGGGGAGAAGAGGAGGATTTATACCTTCCACAAGAGTATTTGTGCATAAATAAATATAATAAATCCAATGGAAATTGGAATTCTACTTTCTGATTAACAATTTTAAGCCATTATCTATAAGCCCTTGTCAATAGAATGAGGTTTTTGAAGACAAGAAAGAGTAAATTATTACACAAGTAATAAATTGAAGGAGGCATGGTGGAGTAATGGATAGCAGTTTGGATTGAGGAATCGGAGAGCTGAGTTCAAATTCCAGACAAATCCATCACATTCACTTACATGCTAATACCCTTAGGAAAGATATGAATCCTCTTCTTCTCCCACCGGCTATGGGTAAATAGCAAAACAGACTGAGATCTATAGCCTTGGATGGCAACTGGTCTGCTGCAGAAAAAAATGGCAATCTACTGTGGGAAAAAAAAATCTGCTTTGTCAGTCATGTATCAATAGATACATGATTGACTAAGTGTATATCATGTATGGCATATAAGTGAATAAATTGAACTACAGAAGAAAAATAAAACAATCTCTTTATATTATCCTGCCAACTCTGCTGGTTAAAAAAACAAAACAAAATGGATATAAGATGTGAAACACTTACATCACTAGTTTGTCCCTCTTTGTCAAATGTAAACACAACCAAATTGTTTTCAAGAGGAGCTATTCCGCAAATGTAACAATTAGATTCTGGTGTGGTTTTGAACATGCTAGCTGAAAGCAAAGATAAAAGAAGTCTTAATTAGAATCATGACACAAAAAAATAGAAAGGAAAATAACAATATCAAAAAGTAAAAATAAAAACAAGACAGAAAAAATGAAGATGACTAATCCTAAAAGACACTGAAGAGGTTACAAACAGACAAAGATGGTACTCAAGTGATGAAAGAAAGAGAGGTTTATTGTAAAAGAGAATACACTACTGAAAGACAGGGAATTAAGTGGCAGGCTAGTAATTCCCAAAGCAAGCTCCCAGGTATATCCTGTGCTCATTATATTTAGCTACTGATATAGTCAGTGCACATAGGCAATAGGGAGTGTGGGACATTCCATTACAACAGATACAATTTTTTTTTCTCTTTCCTTTTAAATGCCATGTCTCTTCAGTACATAAATGATCATGGCCTTCCATTTAGTATCTGTGAATTGGCATGAGAACAGGCTGTGCATCAAGATCAAGACTTTCATGTGGATGTCATGGATAGCACCAAAATCATTCAGAAACATCTAAAGTTACAGCTGTATACAACTGCATTATATGATTAATGGTTAAAAATGACTTTCAGCAAGTGCAGCCTGAGGGTCATAACAAAGATCATCCTTCTTTGAACTTTCTGAAATGGTGCTATAGAATCACAAAGATAATAGGAACTGTATCACTTGAGGACTATCAACAGCAGCAGGTACTAAAATGAATAGCAAATGTAACACAAAGAAAATAATGACATAATCAACATGTTAACATTTCACACTACTTCAAATCAAAGATTAGGAAGGAAACTCCCATCAATACTGTAAAGAATGATAAGAGATACTGGACTTGAGAAACCTGTTTTCCTGAAAAATGGTTTTAAGAGTAAGATTTCATAAATTTCAACCTACAATGGTACAGGCTACTTGGTCAACGAATGCCAAATGTTTCCTTATAAGGAAACAGCTAATATTACAATTACCTTTCTTGGGAAAAGATAATGGAGAGGTTTATTATTTCACAAGAATTCAAAGATTTCCTTCTGTGAGACTGGTTACCACTCAAGGTAAGAGAGCTCAATCTACTCTGCTATTTAACCCATAGTGAGGGATGAGGAGACAGATTCATGTGCTTCTCAAGCCTTTTCTGTATTTGAGAGTCTTAATAAAAAAAATATGTATGCCTTAATTTTTTTTTTTTTTATTAAACTTCCACTCAAATGTACAGGCTAGTTGATGTCATTCACACTATTCCTTAAAAAAAAACAAACAAACAAAAAAAACAGGGCATCTACTCAAACGCATGCATATAATGCTTGAATAAGACCTATGGTTGAAATGAATTGTCAAAGATATGATTGCTTGATAATAATAACCTTGGGGGGTTGATCCTAGCATGTTGTACCATTAAGAAGTACATGAAAACAATACCACAGGTTAACCCTAACCTTATGAGTGAAGCATGGTAGATGAAACTGTTTGGTGAAGGTTTTACTAGCACAATGTCACAAGTCATCATGACTAAGGGTTAGAGTGTACTGGCCTGGTTCAAACGATTATGTGAAGTTTCCCAGAAACTGTAATCAAAGCCAGTTCAGCATAGTTAAAGTTTAAAGCACAGGTATGCTCTCTGGATGTTGAACAATCATAAATGTGCCTGGGCAGGAGTCTGCAACAGGGATGTCTAGCTGCCCTAGCAGACAGGCATACTCAAAAACCAACAGCCAACCATTATATTCATAAAAAAAATGCACTGCATATACAGATGTAAGTAAATTCAATTTACTTCAGCACAGTAAGTCACCAAAGTTTATTTTTTATTGCTGAAAGGCACCACAATTTCTTTTAATGCATAATGGCACCACCATTTATTTTTTAATGCAGAAAGGTGCCAGAAATGAAGTGATTCCATGTGTAGGAATTATTGCAAGTGTTACCAGCAGAATTGTTTTGATGTTTTATGTGAACAATTTATCTTCTGACCATTAATTGGAAATATGTCCTTTATTTTCATAGTTACAGGAGGATTGTTTAACTGCTAATAAAGTTGAAAACTCATTTCCTGGAAATACTAAGAAATATTGGAAAATTCCATCCATTATTATTATTATTATTAAAAAAATGAAAACTTCATAACTGAAATAAAAAAAATGTAAGTAGCCTTTGTTTTCAGGTTACAAGGTAGAATTTCATTGTCAATGAAAGTGTATTAAAAAAAAAAAAAAAAAAATAGCAAGACTAGCTTCAATAATTCAATAAGATTTTAATGAAGCAAAACAGTGACAATTATTTCTTAAGAGAATATTTCTAGTTTCTTTGTCACCATAAAGTTTTCTCTGTTGATCATTATAATTTTCCTTCTATTGATTTATGCAAAATGTTGATCTGAGCTGATAAAAAACATGTTTGGAATTTCTTTTTCAAAACAGAACAGCTAAAGGCCAAACAGTGAAATGCCATTGTGCAAATGAACATGTCAAAACAACAAATCAGATTCTTTGAGTCTAGAAGTGAAAAAAGAAGCCTATATGATTATTACACAGGAATTTAATAAAAGTTTTTATTTGAATCTGTATAAATTTTTTTTCTTTCATTAATTATGCTATCATTCTTCTGCTTGGCAGTTATCCTCTTGATTATCTCTCGGTCATCTAAATACTTTGTTTACAAAACCAAAAAATACAATATTTTCTGGTGTATAAACTTTGGTGCATTTAAAGAATTTCAATTGCAAAAACTTCATAAAAGTTCCCCTCTTCTAATCATAAACATACATGAAAAATTTCTCAGAGTTAACCTGTAGAAAATACAATATTTATAAATGTAAAAGGCAATAGAAAACTGTAATGGTAGCCAACGTGTTTCGTCCAATGTGGACTTTTTCAAGGCAAAAATGAAATGAATTTATTAAACATTTATTAAATGTCGATATTTAGCATTCCCCCCATGTGAGATGTATGTAGCACAAGGCCGAGTTTACCGTGGGTTCTCCGAGCCCAAAGGCTCAGTCAAAAATATTCCCTTAGAACCCGTATAAACGGATTTAGGGTCTGTCTACCTCCCCGGATGAAACTTTGTCCTGCGGCAAAGCCTCATCTGGGTTCCTCCCTGCCAAAGCAGAGAGTTTGACAGAAGTTTCACACAGTCAGAGACTGTGTTCCGACTGTCTTATTAAAGTTATTAAATGTCCTTAGCAACTGGAAGAATCTAGAGAACGTTATATTCATACTGACGTAATTTTCAGTTAACAGTATGAAAATAGTGTTCTCTAAATTCTTCCACTTGCTAAAGACATTTTGTTTTGTTATTATTAGTTACTTTGTTTAATAAATTAATTTCGTTTTTGCCTTGGAAAAATGTCCACATTGGACAAAACACATCTGCTACCATTACAGTTCTCCTATTGTCTTTTACATTTATAAATAAACATATATGTTATTCAAATATCCAACCCACTTCATGGAAACTAATAAAACAATTAAACATCTGCAAAAGTTCCTAACACTTTTTTTTCCAAGTATAGAGTAAATACATTTTTTTTTTTTATTGTTTCACCCCAAGCAAGGTGATAAAGCCATTAAGATGCAAAGGGTTACTGAGAGTGAAAGAAAAGGAAGAAAATGTTGCTGAGGAGAAAGGATAATAAAAAGAAAAGGAGTCAGGGAGACAGAAGTTGATGAGTGATATTGCTTTAAAATTTTTGAAGATCATAATTGAAAGAAAAGCAAGTAGCTACAAAAGAGATCCATAAGCAAGAAGCATGAAAGGAAAACAAATGTTAATTGGTCAGTATTCAAGTGCTTATTTATCTAATGTTGAAGGAAAATATTATTCTATTAATTAACTTATTTTTTTTTAAAAATCATTTCACCCCAAGCAAGGTGGTAATGGCATTAGTATCAGGGGATCACAGGGAGTCAAAGTGAAAGAGAATGAGAAAACTGAGAACGGTGAGGATTGAGGAAAGACCAAAAAACAGGAACATGGTTCAAGAAGAAAAAAGGTGGCGACTACGTTTAAATTTTTGAAAATTGTAGTCATCAAGGAAACAAGAAATCAGAAAGGAGTCCCACAGATGAGAAGTGTGAGAAAAAAAACTGTAGAGTAGAAGTGTCAGTTTGCATCTAGATACTTCAACAGTAAAACCAACTTGCCAATCTAGTAGCACTCTTAAATTCATGTAATCAGGACAACAGTGGGGAAAAATCATTAGAGTTCATGCTAAGAAAATATTTATAGAAAAGACAAACAAAGTGACATACAGAGTTTTGGTAATGTTTGATGATGCCTGGGACAAACTCCTTGACTGTATGCCCCTAAGACTCAAGTAGAGGACCTATAGAGCCTAGTACTGACAAATATGAAAAAGGAAGATTTTAAGTATGTAAAAAAAAAAGATGAAACATGAAATAAACACCATTATGAAGTACTCTCTGGAATAGATGTTGTCGGGTCAACAGATGTTAGCTAGAGTGGCATTCACTGTGGCATACTGCTTTTATAGCAGTACCTCATTTATATATAATAGTACACCTTTCGTGAACTGAATTGGCCTTATGCTTTTTGTTGATCTTTGACTTCTAATTATTCTTGGGAATCTAAACTGTCTTTCTTTGTGTGTATCTTGATTTCTTCTTATAGAGGAACTAAATCTGAGTTCATTGTCCTCTTCAGACTTCTTGTCAGAATTTAACATCCATAGATTGTTCAGTTTCATTACTGGATTCATTAGTCACCCCCCTCCCCTTCATTTTCTTCACCTTCAAATTCTTCATTCATTTCTATATTCTCAGGTTCCATTCTGCTTCTAAATTGATCTGCATGGGCCTGTACATTTTGCCCATTTTTCATTAGTATTGTTGTGTCCTTTCTGTACTACAAAGTCCACATTCTCTGGAGTAGGTTCTTTGTTTGTTTTGTTTTTTTTTGCATACCATACACTTTCACTTGTTGAAAATGACATTGTTATGGGAGCTCTAATCTGTCTACCCATTAATGCAGAAGGACTTTGTAGTCTGT